ATTTAAAGGAATAACCCCTAAAAATGGGAAAAAGTGAAAATCGAGAGTTATATCAGCATTTCATCTGAGCATTTCAGCCACAGGGACAGCTACCAAGGGCCTATGGAACTTAAACTGGGTCTGGAAAGAACACCAGACAGCAGATGGACCCAAAGAATTACATCCAGCACTAAATTAATATCAACATATTGTTGCACATAAAATGCACATGCAGAGCTACAGCTAAAGTTAAAAGCTCAATTCAGGAGTTTTAAAAATACTGAATAGAATTTGTGAATAGCATTAGTACATTTAGATGTTTAAAGGTGGTATTTTTCATAGATGCCTTCATTATTTTCTTAAGGCAAACGTTATTCCCAAAACTTCTGATAATGATTTATTAGTGATAATACAGTTCTTTTTCTACAGTAGGATAAAACCTGATTCCCAACAACTGTGGTTGCCAAATTGTCATTTGCTAAAGGTAGCATAGAAATCATATTCTATTTGCTGAGTATATGAATGGAATACATTAATATTTCAGACTACCACAGCATTCTATTTAATTAATAGAAATATCTCTGACTGAAGTGCAAAATAGTATTTCTTAGATATATTATATCATTACATGTTTTATTTGGTTTAAATATATTTTGTTGCAAATTTTAATAAACAATTTAAATCAAACATAACTGGGAGTTTCCTTTGGTAATAAATGTGCATTAGTTCTTTATTATTCTTCTTCTTACAATTCCTTTATACAATAATGAAAAAAAGAAATAGCTTTCTTTTTGAGATGGAAATTTAGAACTTTTACCTAAGAGCTCATGGAGCTGTTGTTTTCTTCAGACCTTGCAAATATATTTTATTTTCTTGAGTGCTAACTCCAGGATTTCTAGTGAGACCTCATGGACTGAGTAGTATTTTGTTGGTGCTGTTTATTTCCATCTTTAGCAAAATACATAAGGTGAGAGTAACATTCAAGTAACTTTTAAACAAAATATGTGGCTAAAAGCAGATGGTTTCTTCTGCTTCCATTTTCTATGCCGAATACCTTACCTTCTACAAAACTTCTATTTTTTAGTTTTATCTACTAAATATACAACTTCCCAGAAGAAAATACAGTTAAAGCATGTTTATGAAAGAGGTCAAGGAGAGAGCCAATCGAGTGAGTTTTCAAAGCCACTTAGATATTATTGTGGAAGCAGACTTTGAAGCAGTTGTTATTGATTACTTCACTTTGGAATGCTCAGAGCATATGGTTCCACTTTCCCACTAGCAGCTGGCTTCCTTACACATTCTGGTAACCTGCCCTTCATTGAGCTCTGCAGAAAACATTTCTATGAAGTACTTATAAAAGAACATTACTTAAGTTATGTTGTCCTTACAATTTATTTGACTTCAACTATTGACTTTTGATTCCTCTAAAAAAATATGTCTGGGATTTTTAATAGAAAATAAAATGTTTTTACTTTAAGAAAATTTAGTAATAAGAAATTTCCTTTTTTTTGAAAGAAATCCTAATACACTCTCATGTACACTATGTTATAATGTAATCATTCCAATAAGTGTAGAGAAATGTGTTACCTAAGTACGAACTTTTGCAAATTGCAGGATTAGGAATAAGGAAGCACTCCACCTCTTGCCATCAGGAATTTCAGCACCCTGCCACTTTGGTTTGTGAACCTCCTTAAATACATTTCCATAAACTTTGTTCTTTCCTTTCACAATGCTTACACTACTAGTTACTTGATAATTATTAGGACAGTATCCCTACCTTACTACTTACCTATTTCAAAGCACAGGTAACTTGCTTAGCTAAATTTAAATTAAAAGTATTCTCTTACTATAAATAAAAACATCTGAGTGGATTGTTAGGGTGGAAAATGTACTATTACAAAATTGAAGGCAAAAATGGATGCGACAATGAATAATGAATGCTAACAAATTCATCAAGGCTTCAAATAACAAGTATCAGTAAGATGCCTCCTCCTAACCCTATACTGAAAGACCCAATCATGTCCCTAGAATTTGTGAATCACATGTCCACACTTCTCCTGTCTTCTGCACTGACACAGTATATAAACTTTCAAAATTAGCAAATTCAAAACTCTACCTTTGAACTTGGATGTGTTTCCTTTTACTCAAGTATTCATTCCATTCAGTTCTAAGTGTTTGCTATGTGCCAACAATTACACTAGGCCCCGAGTTACTAGCCAAACATCATTTTTGCTTTCAGGGAATTTAAGGTCTAGGGAATGAAACAGGCTGACAGGCATGATATAATGGCCTTAATATATGGGCAACCGAGTATGCTACAGGAACATACAACAGAATGCAACAGAAGTGTCACTTATGTCTACACCTAAGATGAGTAGAAATCAGCTAAAAAAAATTTGAGTACCGGGCAGTGTTTGAGGGGAAGGGCTGCAGAAAACGAAGCTAGAGATTTACAGAGAAGTCACATCATGAAGGAACCAGTAAATCATATGAATGGATTTTGTCTTAAAGAAGGGATCATTCAAAACATTTAACCACTTAGAGCATTTACACCAATTAAAACAGACACTCACTTGAACAACTCAATTAGCAAATACCATTTATGGATACAGTGGCTGAGTGCTGGCTCCCTCTCAGAATGCAATGCTTTTGAAACATGTGTAGGAAATCTCAACTAAAATGTGGCGAATACATTAAAGGGAGAGAAGAACGGAACTGTGAGACCAGGTATTAGGTTGGTCCAGATGTAAGGCTGTGAGAGATAAATGTCACCCGCACCACAGCAGGATCAACAGAATGAAGATCCTGTATGTTTTCTAGAGATATTTGGAAGGTGTAGATATTTAACAGCTTTTAGTTAAAAGAATAAAATAGGGGGCTGGGGATTTAGCTCAGCGGCAAAAGCGCCTGCCTGGCAAGCGCAAGGTCATGAGTTCGGTTCTTGGTGCCGGAGAAAAACAAAAACAAAAACAAACAAACAAACAAAAAATAAAATAAAATAAATAAATAAATAAATAAATAAATAAATAAAAGAATAAAATAGATTTACTGAATGGATATGTGACAGTGTCAGTTACTAAGATGGAGAATACTGGGGAAACAGACCACAAAGACAATAACAAAGACCAAAGGGATGCATTTACTTGTTCGTTTATTTGGAGAAGAGTGGGATAGTTTCTCATTCCATCACAGGACAGAGTGTGACCTGTCTGGGGAAGCCAAGCTTCAGTAGATACTGTATTAAGGAAGCCAGGGGTGAAGTCTGAACTGAAGATGAAGATTTGGAAGTCAATCCTATGAAGAACAGTAAGAATAGATGAGGAAACTGAGAGAATGTACGAAGCTGGGTGAGAAGCGTTCAGGAACAAACATTAATTGCTCTTCCCTCAGTATCTTTAATCTCCACATCCTCGGCCATCACAGTACAGAACTCCTTAGATGTTCTTTCCAACCAATCACATAGCATCCTGTCTGTTCTGTTTTCTCTCTTCCAAATGAACAGTCTGCAGTTTCCCCAGCACGCATGGTAGTGTCAGAAACCCAAGCCTGATGTTCTCAGTCTCCAGCATCCGGGCTCTTCAATGATTTCCCATTGCTTCTTAAAATAATTAATTTGTGGTACTGGGGATTGAACCAGGGCCTTCACACCAAACTACATCCACAGACTTTCTCATTGTTGCTTTAAGATAGGATTTGTGAAGTGTCTAAGTTGCCCAGATGGCTAAGCAACTGCTGACCCTTCTGCCTCAGCCTCTCAAGGGCTGAGACTGATTACAAGCATGTATCCCCCGACCTTGCCCCAAGATTTCTACTGCTTTTAGAATAAGAGCAACATCATTATCATGTTAACAGCATTCTAGGCTTCCTCAGTTCTTGGGAACTGCTGTATTTTCCCTGCTCCAGTGCTTTGCACACACCTTTAAATTAGTCTTAAAGACCAGTTTTCAAGTAGGTGGAACATGCAGTGGAACGTACTATGGCAGTAATATAACTTCTGTTGATACTAAACTACGCTGTGCTATACTATACTATACTATACTATACTATACTATACTGTAAGTTTCTGACCATGTAGATCAGCTAACATGTATAGAATTAAATTCACTATCCTTACATCTCATACATTTGAAAGATTTCACTTTTCATTCTAATGGTCAAAGGATAATTCTGAAGGTAGCTAGATAACCAGTGATGGTTTAACTCAAAATAGCTTGGAAAAGCTATCAGAACAATGGCAGTTTTGTCCTTAGGCGAGAAATTTGTGTAGGCCATCGTGACACACTAGCTCTCTCCAACTTATGGAGGCCAACGGCACACACAACCGCAAACAGCAACTCCCACAGGTACCTTGGGCATACGAGCTTGTCTGTCCATAGCCAGCCTCCTCTTCCACCTAAGACCTGACACACACACACCTGTGTGTTGCTTTGAAAAACCAAGATCCAAACCCAACTGTGGGATCAGTTTATTATCTATTAGAAGCTTAACATCTAATGTGATGAACTTTACAGCTTACTCCGAATACTTAAGATTTAATGTGAGAATTATCTCCACTGCTGCTGAAAGAAATGCATACATTTGTTTTGCTTGTTGGCTTCTTTCAACACTGCACGACTGTTTTGCAGAACACATGGACCTATTTATGAATTTGGCATATGGCATTTGTGCTATGTCTCCATAATCAGAAAGAAGTTTTAGAGATTCGAAGCTCTTTTATTGCCAAATGAAAATTCTTGAGGACCAACACAGACACACACAGTATGTATACATATATGCACGTATGTGTATATCCATTATTTTCTCCATCAGGCTTTGACTCCACTATATGAAAACAGTCCTAAAGCATTAATTACATTCTTTGTAAAAGTATATTATTAAAAAACACAAAATACTGAAGCATTTATTCTATTCCCCAAGGAGAACATAAGAGACTGACTCGAACTAAATGCTTTATGCATCCAGTTCTGCCGCAGTGATGGGCCTCCCCTCCCCGGAAGGGCGCTCAGAGAGGGGACACCTACCGTCTTGCTGAGGTAGCCCGTGCTGGTGTTCATGCACTGCAGCCCCTCGCTGTTGCAGCAGCCCCCACATCTGTAGACGGACACACATGGAGGTTTAAAGAAGGTGTTTGTTGCTGCTCCAAACTCCTTCCCCACATCTATACACACCTCACGTGGCATGCATTGCGTCTTTCTCCACTCGTTATCAATACCTGTGGAGTCACAGGGAAGTCCTTCAGTTATCCAGGAGCCACCCGGGGGAAAAGTTCACAGCAGTTGGAAGTTACTCACACTTGATATCAGACTTTAAGTATAATATGTAAACGCAGAGAAATAGCTGACAGGACCCTAAATTGGTCTGTGAATGGGAATATATATTTAAAAGAACAGTTAAGAATTTTTTTAAAGCTCATTTCTGTAGCCACATAAAAAGCTAAATTAGTACTAAGCTTTTAAAAGCTTAGTGCGCCATTCTCCTGTGGCACGGGAGGAAACGGGGATTGAACATGTGGACGTTTACAAGCTGTGTAGGAAGAGTTACACTGATTCGCTGCAGTACGCAGCACTGTCTGGTTGGGAGGAAATGTAAACAATATGACTTTATTTTTATTTTAAACTGAGATGTAAATGAAAGAAGATGACAATGGTTTTGTACTCAACTCAAAAATCATTTTCAGGCAGGCTACTTGGCAACTTTGGGTAATTTCTGGGCAGTAGCTACGTGAAAGGCAAAGCTATTTTCCATCCATCAAGACTTGTATCCTGCACTAACTTTTCTCAGGAAAATCAAATTTCCTATCTCCTCGTGCCTTGTCTTAGGATCCCACTTACAGTGAGCGAGTGGGTTACCTAGAACAGTGTTGAGTGCTTCCTGCACTACAAATGCAGCACTTCCTCAGTGTTCTAGTTTATTCCTCCCACATTTCCTCTAAAACAAAATTTGGGGGAAATAAAGACATAAATCATTGATTATTTAGCCATAAGCCATTTCTTTTGCTTTCAAAGTACACTGCAAAATCACTCCTTTATAGTAATATATAGTAACTAAAAAGAATTCTTTTTTTAAAATTAGCCCAACAACTTATATTATTGTATGTTCAACATCACAAATTCTGTGAAGTTTTGTCCTAGCTATTCTACCAGCTTTACAAAAGTACATCTCTGTGCTAGTGTCCTATGAGCAACAAGCCAACCATTAGCATTTGCAAAGGTGATCTGGGTTTGTTTTGAGAGAATTTAAGCATTCATAAGTCCAGGTTAGAAAGAAAATTTACACAAAGAGATATTTTGTAGATTCACACACTACATATGGGATTCACACACTATATATGGGATTCACACACTATATATGGGAATATATATTTAAAAGAACAGTTAACCTAGTGTGTGAAATATATTTGTATGTTTTACAAATTTTACAGTAGGATGTTACCTCAACTTTAAAATATTTGCACTGACATGCATGCACCTTTCTTTGTGTTTTAAGAAATCATCAACAGTCAAATTAAATCATACACAAAATGTATTTTGAAACCAATTAATTACTATTTTCTTTAGTTTCAGGCCCTAAGATATATTCAGTGGTGCAAATGCTGGCAACTTTCACTAGACTGACATATGAGGCTTATCACACATTCCCTGTCTGGTACTTACTTTTCAGGATTTCTGCATTATAATGAGCTGCAGCAAACTTTACAGTCTCTTCTGTCCTCGTGTGGAGGCTGGGCTGTTCTTTATTGTACTGCCAGCCTCCTTCCCTTAACTGACACTTGTACATTTTCCAATACTCGGGGTAGAGCACAGACATGAGTTCATCGACACTTGACACAGACCGCAGCTGCTCCTCCAGATCCTTGCCTGCATAAGCCTGTCAGAGAAAATGCAAGATCGATTACTCATCAGATCAGCAATCGGGAAACAGAGGTCCTGAGAGAACTATTCAGTTCAATGTTAATCACGCTACATTCACTAGTAAGATACCATTAATGATTCCTCAATTATTTAACTTTTGGATGAAATTACAATTATATCTTAATTTGTCTGAATCTATGTAACTAAAAAAAATATTTTGTTGAGTCAAGACTCACGTGGGGGTATAATTTTTAAATAATTTTAAGATGGATTGTTTTATTTATAGTTCTTTTACATAATTGACAAAATCTTTTGTATTTTAATTCTTCTTTACTTTAAAGAGATTTTAAAAAGCTTGAAAATGTATTTGTTAGTATTGCTCTATTAAATACATGTAAATCTGTTGAAATGCACTCTAATTCTTTATCTTTTAAGTATGAGTATCAATACAATATAACCACAATGGTTGAAATTAGGCATCTAATAGGGAAGCTATTTTAGACCGAATAATCATGTCAAAAATGAGATTTTGAGAACAGTGTCACAGTAAGATATATATTTTGGTAGAACTTCCTAATATTTAAAAAATTGCTCAGCAAAATTTATATTGCTTTGAAACAGATACGAGATAGTTCAAACACTGTATCTGTTTATAAATGGTTAACTGCTTATGTAAGTGCATCTAGTGAAGTGGAACATTCCAAGACTTATTCAAGTAGTTACATGTGCAAGAAAATATATTTTTTCCTAACCTGTGCTTTATATTAGGGGAAAATGGAGCTTTTATAGTTCTATCTTCAAAGTGAAATTCAAAATCAACTTATTTTATGTTGTCATAATTAGCACAGCTTTTAAATCTAAGTAGATGGAAACAAAGCTTTTGCAAATAAGGTCGGGAAAATACTGAAGGGAGGGGAAGGGAACGAGAAACAAAAGAATCAAGACATATTATCTACACATACAAATTCTCACACACTCCTAGATATGAATGTGATTATTATGTATATCAAAAATGTACCAAGAGTATTAATTACATAGCAAAAATTTTAATATATAAGTAAAGATGCTGGACATGGTTTGCAAAGTTTACTGTGTTTAGGAGTTAACTGGAGGATTTAAAATTTCAGGTGGCTCCTACCTCCTGAAAGATTTCTGACTGGGGCTCAAGACACTATGTTCAAACAATGGTTTAGTTTTTCTTTCTAAGGTTTTGTTTGGGAGTAGGGAGCTGCACTGGGGATTGAACCAGGGTCTCTGCACTGATCTATAGCCTCTTCCTTTCTTATTTTTTTCTTTATGTTGAAACAGGATCTTTCTAAAGCTTGACTTGAACCTCAGATATTCCTGCCTCAGCCTCCTAGAAGAGGGTTCTAATTTTTTTTCTCTTTGTTAGTATGTGTTTGCAGTACAAATCGATCACATTCACCATGGGAAACTGGTACATTTATGGAACACATCTTAATTCATTTTTCTCCCCGCCCCTCCAAACTTCTTCCTCTCACCATTCACAAAAGTTCTTCCATTTTTTCCTTCAGTATTTTCCTTAAAATCTCTTTCCCTTCCTTCCTCAATCTGTTGTTCTCCTTCCCATTTGAAAAAGATCTTCCTACTATCTAGCTTCTCTTCTCTTCCTTACTTATACTTTGGGTTTCTGACACAAGAGAAACAATGTGATATTTAAACCTATGTGTTTTACTTATTTCTTTTAAGATTATAGTCTCAAAGTACATTTATTTACCTAAAAATGCCTCAAATTTATTCTTCATTATGGTACAGTAGTACTCCTTTTTTTATAAATACCATATTTTCTTTTTGCTTTCATTGGTGGATGGGCACGTGGGCTGTTTCCTAGATATAGCCATTACAAACTGTGCTGGTAAAAACATGAGTGTGTGTGTATTGCTGTGGTATGATGACTTTAACCCTTTTGGGAAGATACCTAGAAGGAGAATAGCTGGGTCAAAACTAGTTTTACTTTTTTGAGGAAGTTTTCTACTGATTTCCATAGTGATTATATTGACTTACACTCCCACCAACAATAGAGAAGGGTTGTTTTTTCCCCACAGCTTCGCCAACATTTGTTATTGGTTGATTTCTGGAGGACAGCCATTCTTTCTGGAGTGCAACAGAACCTCACTAGTTGTGTTAATTTGAATTTCTTGAATGACCAGTGATGTTGAACATTTCTGCAATTATTTATTGGACCCTTGTACTTCTTCATTTGAGGACAGTGTATTCATTTCAGCTTCCATTTTTAGACAGGTCTTTAAATTGGGGGGGGATCTAATTTTTTTTGTTCCTTATATATTTTAGAAATCAAATTTCTATTTTTAATAATCTGAATAATTTTGATGATGTTATTCTTTTATTATATTTTGGAAACTAAATCTAGTGCTAATTTCTTACATTATTACAAAGTCTCCTAAAAATGAGACAATATACTACGAAAGGTGCTCCTTCCTATTAGATGATGAAGTTGGCTATGAGTATTGGGCTTTTCCTTCCCTTACCATCTACTGGGTGATTTGAGTATATCACAATCTCTTTAGGTACATGTTATAAAATTCTAGTAGAAATCCATTACTTCCTAGAATATGTACAATGACTCTTGACATACAACTCTATAAAAAATGATAATGAATAGATAAGCATGAGATCTTAGTTACAAAGGAGGTGACAGAGGTATCTTGTTGGTTTCCTAATTAAATGTTTATGGAATATTTGCCAAGGAAGATCTCATATATGAAGTTAATTTCAAGAATCAAGTGTTTCCTGACCTGAAAGCATTGCTAACCAGAGAGAAAGACAAGAAAAGTAAAACTGATTATAAAAATCACATTCTATGTCAGGTAGTGGATATATTATTAATTGGCTCATGGTAGTTATTTCACAGTGCATATCAAAATATCGTACTGTACACTTTAAATATATTTTAAATGTCAATCACAGCTCAATAAAGCTGAGGAAAAGGTACACAGTTCTATTTTGGTGACTATTACTATAAAATACTATAGATGACTTTTGTTAACCTCTCCTTCCTGAAGGGTCCTAGAACACAGAAGCAGGCAGGGATTGAGTGTAACTGGAGAGTCCCTGGAGCTCTTTCTTCTCCAGTGAGTGCAGCCAAGGTTAAAGTCAGGACCTACGCTGCCCACACCAACTGCTGGTATAGATCTGACTGTTCGCAAAGAGAAGTGCAGCACAGCTCTGTGATCGATGCAATGGAATAAATGAAAGGAATTTTAACAAAAGGGATGGTGCTGAACAGGATTTTTAGGAAGGACTATTTGAAGTTTTAAGACAAATTACTCTTGTACTTTAAAATTTCAAAATGAAAAATTACTATACGAATATTTATATGAGTCAGGGAAAACACTGCTTTTAGATCAATGGGAGAAAAACACAAGTATAAAATTCACAATAGAAATCCGGGTGTGGTGGCACATGCCCATAAGCAGCGAGGAGGCTGAGATAGGTCACCCTGGGGTATATCATAAGTTCAAGGTCTGCCTTAAACTACATAGTAAGACCGTGCCTCAAAAAAAATTACAATAGAGCAAATGTTACATAAAAAATTAAGTAGAAGGTAAATTCAACAGTAGAAGATAGTTTTATTTACATTCTTAGGTTAAAAAGGTGAATATAAAAATAAAATGTGAAATACTGTATGTGTATTGCAGAAAACTATAGAAAAATAAAGACAATAAAGTAGGAAAACTATTTGCAATATATATAATGGATGAAAAGCACTCATATTCTTAAACTATTGTGAAAATATCTTAATACAAACTGGTGCTTCAGTAGACAGATGGGCAAAGAACTTAAAATGAATAGTCAGAAAGAACACATATTAACAATACATATTGGACAACGGCAACTGTGAAAGAAATTATAGTTCCTTTCAACCCCAGTATGAGCATGAACTAGTAAGGTTATTCAAAGAAAATGTTGTACTACAAATTAAAAGGAGTTCAGTAACTCTCTGGGTTGGACAGCTCATTCACTTTGGAATTAAATTTCCTATCCAATGGAAGTGATATGATTATGTCAGATGTGTGTACAAATTCATAGTGAGGCTAGCTACATAATAATATTAAAACAATCTATATAGACAAAAAATTGCTTATATTCTTTAGTTAGTTGAGAAAGTACTGTAATAGCACTATATGATAAAGTTCTATCAGATAGAAATGAAAAATGGCTTAGGATATCATATATGAAAAATGGTGTACCCGATTTTCACACTACACACACCCACACAGGATCAGATGTATAGTATAATTTTTCCACAAAACAAAATTTAAATATAGGCTGACTGTAGGCACATTTGTATATTGCCTTAGAGTAAAAGTTATGCAGTAAAGAGAAAAGTTATTTCTTCCAAATTGTAGGATACAGGTAATTCTATTCTTTATACATTTCTGTATTTTCAGTTTTAAAATAATAGACATATATAACTTCTTATAATCACAACAAAATTTTAAAGTAACTATCCCTCAGCAAACTGAAGTTATATAATTAGTTCTTATTTCATCCTTTCACTTACTTTGCTGCTCTAATATATTATTTAATTTATAATAATCATTGCCAAATGACAGCAGAGCCTGCCACAGAAAATGGAATAAAAAATGGCTTGAAGATTGAGCAATTCAGGGCTGGGGATTTAGCTCAGCGGCAAAGTGCCTGCCTGGCAAGCGCAAGGTTGTGAGTTCGGTTCCCGGTATTGGAGAATTCATGTTTTTAAATAGATAATTATTGTACACTGCACTTGCCCAAAAGAAAAATAAGCTTTAGTAGCAAAAGTTTCATATTTTCATTCTGAAGGAAAAGATCACATGTTATTCTGGAATGGCCTCATCATTGACTCTGAGTTCCTCTAAGAGAGCAAAATGATCTCATATTTATGAATTCATCTTTGTAGATACGACTGCAAACTAGCAGTAGACAGATGAAACCAAAAATAACAAAAACAATAGTTTTAAGGGGGGAGATGATTTCCCCCTGGGGCATTTGTCA